CAACACAGATATTGGGAGCATGGCATTACCTGGTAGCCTATCTCTCCAAACAGCTCAACTTTGCTGCTCTAGGTTGGCCACCTTGCCTGATCTGGTAGCCAAACTCTCCAGGTAGCAGAAGCTGACAAATCAAATCATGAGGACTTACATATGACCACTGGATTGGCTGACTAGACTCCAGTGGACAAACTTACCCTGAAGGACAAACACCTGAATGAATAGGACTCAGCATGTATGGCAGAGTGCATAGGGTGGGAGGATAGGGGGAGGCATGGATGGGGGAGGCAGGTCTGGATTTGAGTGGGAAATGTATGAAATTTTAAAAGCTCAATTAAAAAAATCAATCATAGGACAGGAACTGACAGTCCAAGTGCCCCATTTGGTACTGACATTGCTAAAACATAAAGGGTTCTGCTGGCCGACCAATTCAAGGATGGCCAAGTACTAAGGAATGTTATATGAATGTTATATGTCAACATTGAGTTTGTGAGAACATTAAATCCAGTCATCCTGTTGCCAGTTGGGGCTGGCCAGCCAGATCATGATTGTATTGAAGTCATGGAGGAAGTGTTCCAGCAGACCAGACCTAAGTGACCCAGATAAAGAATACTTCACTGGTGGAAGTAGCTTCATACACGATGGAACAGGTCTCACTGGCTATTGAGTGATCACCTCAGACTCCACCAGTGAAGCTGAACCTCTACCAATAGGGACATCAGCTCAAAAGGCAGAACTCTGCCTAACCCAAGTACTCCAATTGGCCGTGGGAATCTGCCAACATCTATACAGACTCTTGATATGCCTTCACTACTCTGCATGTGCACCGAGTCTTATATAAGGAAAAGTACTAATTAATCAAGGAGGAAAAGACATAAAATATGGGGCCAGGAAATCCTTAATCTTGTAGATGCCGTTTGACTCCCAAAAGAATAGCGGTTATAGGGCTGGATGTGGTGGTGCACGCCTTTAATCTCAGCACTCGGGAGGCCAGCCTGGTCTACATAGTGAGTTCCAGGACAACTGGGCTACAGAGAGACCCTGTCTCAACCCCCCCCCAAAAAAAGAATAGCACTTATGCATTGTTAGGGACACCAAAAGGAAGATACTTTTAATTGCTCACGGAATCAAGGAAATTGGAGCACTGACCAAGAAGCAAAACTTGCATCCTACAAAGAGTCAACTAAAACAGGAACTGTCACCGCAGCCCTGCTCCCCAGTCCTGACAGATTAGAAGTTTATTCACAAGCTGAAAGGAACTGGTTCAAATCAGGAAACTCACATGAGTAGGACAGTACTTGAGGCTGCCCCCAAGTCAACACTTCTGTGTTCCCTAACTCACAACAACCCTCATTAAGGGCCTGAACTTCCTCCAGGGATCCAAAGCATTGGAAGGACTCTTGATGATTTGGAAGTGGACTTCACAAAATTGCCTCACACAGCTATGGGTGGAAGCTTTTCCAACCCTCACAGAAAAAGCTCAAGAGGTAGCCATGATGCTTCTCTGGGAGACTATTCCCTGATTTGAAATCCCCACCTCCATTGGCTCAGACAGTGGACCAGCTTTTGTGGCAGAGGTAAATTGCTAGCTACAAGTTTGGACATTAAATGGAAATTACATAATGCCTATAGGTCACAAAACTCTGGTAGGGTAGAAAGAATGAACAGGACTCTTCTGTTTTTAAATATTTTATTATTTTTATTTTATGTGTATGAGTGTATTGCCTGCATGTATGTGAGTGCACCCGTGTTGTGCAGTGCCGCAGAGGTCAGAAGAGGGCTTTGGATTCCCCTGGAACTGGAGTTAAGTACGGTTCATAGCCGCCATGTGTGCTGGGAAAATCAAAGTAGCAAATTCCTTTTCCATCTCCCCATCCCAAGAACTTTTTAGTTTTCTTTTGTTTTTTTTTTTTTTTTTTTTTTTGAGACAGGGACTCCCTGTAGCCTTAGCTGGCCTGCAACTAACTCACTTTGTAGGCCAGGCTGGCCTTGAACTTATACAGATCCACCTGCCTCTGCCTCCCAGAACAAGACTCTTAAAACACAATTAAGCAGATTATGCCAAGAGATTCACCTTCATTGGGATGAAGTCTTTCCAATAGCTTTACCGAGAATCAGGTCTACTCCAACCAAGAAAACTTGATTCTCTTCTCTCCCTATGGGAGACTACCTCTTCTCATCAAAGGATTATGAGACCTAAAGAAGATGGGAGAACTGGCCCTGGGGCAGCAATTCCAAGCCCTGGGAAAAACCTTGCATTCTCTCTATGAATGGGTGAGGGAAAGAGTGCCAGTTAGCCTGACAACAGATATACATTCCTTTAGGCCAGGAGATTCAGTTTGGGTAACGAATGGAATGTCCAACCTCTAAAGCCTCTCTGGAGAGGTCCTTTCGCTGTCATTTTTATCCACCCCTACTGTAGTTAAGTCCCTGGATTCATTATATAGACTGTAGCTTGCAGCCATAAATTGGAAATGCACTCTAGACACTGACAAGCCTCTCCCACTGACAATCTGGAAAAAGAGGACACCAGACAAGTCCGAGAATCAGAAGGACAACAGCCCTGCTCTAGTCAACTACTCTGGAAGCTGACTAGCCTGCACACAGCCGAATCATGACCGGACTTCAGCCCTGCTCCAGCTGCTCCAGAGGCTAGCTGGTCTATGTACTGCAGAAGAATTACTGGTTTCTCACTGTAAAGCATTGCCATCCCCTGCTTATGTCTATGGTTATATCCTTTGCTATACTTTTTGTCATAGGTTTGGTAGAAATTGCTCCAGCTGACTGGACAAACTGTAAAAAAAATACAACCAAGCCAGGCATGGTGGCGCACACCTGTAGTCCCAGCACTTGGGAGGCAGAGGTAGGCGGATCTCTGTGAATTCAAGGCCAGCCTGCTCTACATAGTGAGTTCCAGGACAGCTGGGGCTACAGGGAGACCCTGTCTCAA